TTATTTTTAGTAAGAAGTAGAATATGAAGGAAGAAAAATGTAAATAAGAAACAACGGGGCAATAAGGACAAATATTCTAAAGAAGAATAAGGGGGGAAATGTAAATAATAGAAGATTACCGTTACATTATCGCTGTTAAAAAAGGGGTGAGGAGTATATACGTGTGTGTGTGTTATGTTTTGCTTTGTTTTGTTTTGTTTTGTCGATTAAAAATAAAATAAAAAAGAGAAAGCAAAAAAAAAAATATCAACACCTATCATTCTGTGCAAAGCAATGATAATATTTTGTAATTTAGTTTGATTAAAGTGTAATATATTTCAAAAAAAAGAGAAATGCGCAGCATAAAGGAGAGTATTTCATATACATGCACTTATACTGGCAAGCTCAACAGGATAGAAGGAAGTAATTCTAGCTGCATCACTGATCTTTCTAGAACTGAAATTCAAGTAAACAAGGATTAATACATGGTTTTTCTTTTCATTCATAAAAAGCCAGTGTGATATAGTGGTTAAAGTGTTGGGCTAGAACGAGAGAGGTTCAGGTGCAAGTCCCATCCTCAATCATGGGAACTCACTGGATGACTTTGGCCTAGTCACTTTATCTCAACTTGGTATACCCAGTCAGTTGTTAGAGAGAGAAAATTGAAGGAAAGAGTTGCCTTGAGGTCCTGGAAAAACAGCTCCATATAAATAACAAAAAAAATAAGAGCTGCCTCTTATTTGTAAGAAGGACTGAAATCCAACAGAGAATCTCACTGGAGAAAGGGTGAATAAGTAGAAGTTATTCCCTCTGCAGCTTTGCATGCAGTTTACACAGTTGTCAGATGCCTTATTAAGTTTTGGAATAGTTTCTAAGATAGTGTAAGGGCAGGAATCAATAAACACCTCCTCTCTCTCTTAACAGGCCCATCCAAGGACAGTATTCTATTAATTGAGCCATAGATTCCAACATACCATATTTAATACTGTACATTTTTCTATCATATTCTGCCAGTGATTCCTCCATTAAATCTAATTACCAACCCACCCACCCACGCATGCACGCAAGCGCACATGCACACATACGATATAAACAGCTGTGTTTCATATTAAATGTTATATTTGGCATTAGAGCAATAAGAAAGTTATGCAAAATCCATTAAATTGTACTTCTTCCAAAGGCGCAATATTCTTTCTTGAGGACTGAGTACATTTCTAGCTAATTCAACCAAGTGTTCGTAAAATAAATGTTCCATTAAGGACACAAAGATCTCACTTCAAAAAGTTAACAATATCAAAAATTCCTTATAATCAAGTTATAATCCACATTAGTGAAGTTCTTGGTGCTCTCTAAGTTTAGTTGTTTGCTTGTAGATGGTTCATCATCCAACTAGATAGCATCATCAGTGCTAGTGAGTATAGGGTTTGTTTCCTGTTATATACAGTAGCTTATCTTGCCAGAGACAGGACAGTAGCTCAAGAAGAAAAAGTAGGAGTCATGTACAATAGACAGACAGAAGACTGACAGAGGGTATTGATGATCACCAATTAGCAGTGAAAATTCCTTAATCTCGTAACACAGAGACAGACTTGACCATAGTTTCTGCTCAGAAACTGTGAGCATTCTATACCAAACTAAATCCAAAAAAATTGCTAGAGAATCCTGGAAGCTTGGCAATCGAACAAATTAGCCCTCAATAGACACAGAAATAAACATACCATTCAAAAGAGACAATAAAAATACTAAGGGGGAAACAAAAAAACCCATAACAAATCCTCTCTAGCACCCAGATAAGCGGGGATTAACACTAGACAAACAAGCAGAAAACAATAACTAATCCAGAAATTACCAAAGACAAAATCACACAAACATCCCAACATCGACAGGTTTGTATATACAGTAGCAAACCCTGATCCTCATCACTAACACAGATGATATTACCTAGTCAGACAATAAAACATCTGCAATAAAACATCTCAGAAAGCACCAAGAACTTAGTTTAATCCAAAGCCACATATATTGTCTTCTATTAGATTACAACAGTGGTCCCCAACCTTTTCAGCTTGGCGGCCTGGTGGGGGGAGAGAAGGGAACTGGGCCATGCGAGTGGTGGGTCAGGGCACACATGCGCAACTCGCACGAGTGGCAGGTTGACACATGTGCATGCAGCTCAACTTGTGCAAGTTGAGCTACTCACCTGTGCACGTGTGCCGGCCCATGGCTCGTACAAGTTGAGCTGCGCACATGTGCACTGTCCTGCTAACACAGACTGATCCCAAATAGGCCACGAGCCAGTCGTGGGCCGTGGCTCCAAGGTTGTGGACCCGTGAATTATAGGACACTAGTTTTGTGTCTTAGAAGAGAAACATGCATTATTTAGAAGTCAACTATTTATTTCCATTTTCTAGAGTAGCCATGTTTTTTTCAACTATAAATATAGTTTTGTATAATTTTAGAAAGCCAAGTTGACATTGTCCCCTACATTCAAACTTGTACATTACGAGATCATATATAATTTATCTACCGTACTTGATAAAATAATTGTGGGCAAGACGGGAATGCAGATCATAATGATATTATGAGTAGAATATCTGATGTTTTGATTCACAACCTGAGAAAATTAGATTGCCCCACCACCTCTGAAAATTATTTGTCCTGAGAATAAAGTTGCAGTTTGTTCTAACATAATAAATGGTATTGTATTAACAGAAGCAATGCATTCGGGTGAGGTGAAGTAACAGTTCCATGGAACTCTGCACTGATTAAACCACATGTGGAGTCTGGGCATCAGTTCTAGATCCTACTCTTTAAAAAGGATGTGAAGAGCAAAAGTGGGTTCAGAAGACAGATACAAGGAAGATAAGGAGTCTGAATCCAAGCTCTGTGAGTCACAGATATGGTTAGATTGCAATTAAGCAAGGAGAGAACCAACCTAGAACTAAGGAGAAATTTCCTGACAGTTAGAACAATTAATCAGTGGAACAACCTGCCTCCAGAAGCGCTGAATGCTCCAACACTGGAAGTTTTAAAGAAGAGATTGGACAACCATTTGTCTGAAATGATATAGGGTTTCCTCCTTGAGCAGGGGGTTGGACTAGATGACCTTCAAGGTCCCTTTTAACTCTGTTATTCTGCAGAAGAGAAGGCTAAGGGGAGATGCATGTAATAGTCTTAAAACACTTAAAGTTCTATCATGCATTAATGAGGGCAGATGTGATAACTGCTTAAACTGATCAGTGGTTGAGATTAAAGGTTGAAGCAGAATATTAGGAGGCATGTTCTAGTGGTAGGAGCTGTGAAGCAGTGGAAGAATGCCCACCAGAGTGGTTGATTTCCCTTCAGTAGTGGTTATTAAAGGGGACCTAGGCAGCCTATAATTGGAGATGATTTAGTGAATGCCACTGAACGCAGTGGGGTATGCTTTTGAGGATTGACTCCCTAATGTTCCACTTTTCTTTTCACTTCTTCTTAACAACAATTGTGCATCGGTTTTCATTAAAGAAAAGGCTGCACAAGATGTTGTATGCTTTTTCATGCAGATTTCTCTGCCCTTGCATATTAATACCTACACATAAATGCATTCGTACTCCAAGGTCATAATTGTGTCTTGCTGCAGTTCAGAAAATATAAACAAATTATATCTTCCTGTCATTTTTAAACAACAGTTTTCTTCAGCAATAACCAGGATCATGAGACCAGCGCAGGACTCTTAAAATTTCTTTATATTGAGGCACTGCAAGAACTTTGGTTCACACAGATTCAAATCCTTCCATGATATACTGATACTGTCTTCCCAAATCAATGATCTTCTCAACTCTCATAACCTCAGAGCAACAACCACAGAGTAATTGCTGGGCAACTTTCAATAGTTGTTCCTTTCTGAAAGTGAATACTCTCTCTTGAACCTTGGAGTGCCATGTAGCTGTGTTCTGTCCCTTGGAGTACTTGTGATTCCCCTTTTTTTCTCTTTAAATATTTCTGTAACAATGGCTCTGTTTGCAAAACAATAATATTAACTGTACTAATAGAAAAAAGATCTGATTGATGTTCCTGAATCAAGCAGAGAAATAAATCAGGAAATAACAAGAATAATACATCTTTGTCTATATCACCAATAGCTGCTTATGAAAAAAAGAACAAAATGAAAGCAGTTTTCTGCTTAAATTAAGAACTTGAGATTTGTTATTGTTAGGGCTTCCCCTTTGAACCCCTAAAAAACAGCTGTTTTATGTGGAAACACTTCTTTTTCATGTTATAAAAATTTAAAAGTTTTGCTTGATTTGAGATCAGTTTTATTCCAGTAAAACCAACCAACATACTCTGCATATTAGCAGCTTCATTCTTGGGATTCTAGACTGCATGTCCATTTCATGCCTGTAAGATGCATTCAGGCTATGTGAAATTCATATAATTAATGTAAGGGCGCAGCATTTGTATCAAAAGAATCGTGCATTTCAAACTATTTTTGGACAAGACCTACAAAGAACTGTTTTAAAACTGCAGTGATAAATAAGTGCTTTAGGTCTAGTCCTCTTGACCTGTTTACAAATCCTTATCTTTCTCTTTAACTAGATATCTGTCCTCTTATCCTTCTTAGTTGCCTGCACCTTTCTCGTATCTGCCCCATATCTAATTTATTTCTCTACATAATGGCTCTGTAACATTCATTTCTAAGTTTGCTTTAATTTACATTGATACAGATATGAATCCCCATTTTATCCTTTTCCTAAACTATCCCAGCCCCAGTTCTTTATATATCAATTTCCAGGACCCCAGAATTAACTTCTTGCATAGTTTTAAAGCCTCTTCCTTTAAAGCTTTCTCAAGGCAGTTGTAAATATTATTAGTGACTCCATCAGAAGAATGAGAAACAGTGAAGCGAACTATAATTTGTGGGAAATGTTGTAAGTATCATTTGATATATTCTTAAGAATGACATTTGTTTAATGGGTCTTTCAGAGCAGTGCTTTTTTATTTCTTGCATTTTCACTAAAATAGATAAATTTCCTTTATTACTTCAGAGAATGATGAGGAACAAGAAGCTCTCCCAATCCTGGACAAACCTGGCTGGTACTCACAAGGTAACTCGACCCATTTGTATGAGTTGCTGAAGAAGATGACTGGCAAAGTAGAACCAAAGGTATTTTAAAAAGCAGAAGGAAAGACATCATAGCAGAGCCTCCTCATAAGAAGGCTTTCTCCACATCAACACAAATTCATCTTATTAAGGACCAGTTTTTAGAGATCCAGTAGTAAGCCACAGTAATGACAATTACATTAAATATCATCAGCTAACAGGAAATACAAGCAAGCATCATATTCATTTTTAATATTTAATATAAGATGTGTGTAGCCTAATTTAATGCACGATTACCTTTCCAAGAAATACCAATTGTGTTAAAATACTTTATTCTCAAGTCGGTGTCCATTACATTGCAAGCTTAATTAGTCATTATTAACATATTTTAAGTCAGAGGTAACAGAAATTAGTTTGGAATTCACTGGTAGCGCCTAAGTGATTTGCAGATGATGGGCAAAAGACTCGTAGGCACTGAATGTTCAAATACAGCTATTTATTTATTAGGTGCAATTGTTGCATTTCCTTACTTCCAGGTCGTTTACTTTGGTGATAGCATGCACTCAGATATTTTCTCAGCTCATCACTATTGTAACTGGGAGACTGTCCTTATTTTGGAAGAGCTTGGAGGGGATGATGCGGTGGTACATACAGAGTCACGGTCTGAACCCTTAGAGAAGAAAGGAAAGTATGCGGTAAGGATAATCTGGTACAACCCAGCTTCTCCTCCATTATGAGATGGGTTGACATAGCATTTTGAAAACCACTACAGTTAGTCGTCAAAGTACAACCAATCCTGTTCAAAGTTACAGTGTTGCTGAAAAAAGTGACTTATGACTGTTTTTCACACTTATGACTGGTGCAACATCCCCCCATGATCCCGTGATCAAAATTCAGACTCTTGACAACTGACTCATATTTATGATGGTAACAAGTGCCTAACATTTATATTGTAGAAAAGGTAGTGCTTATCACTTATTAGAAGGCTGGGAAACTTCTTGTCTTAGTTCTCGGCAGCTATCAACAGTATCAGGATGCTGGCAGTTCTAGTTTAGCAAACGTTTAAAAGGCCACAGATTTATGGTATCCTTCCCTGAATGGTTTCCTACACAGATGTAACTATTATTTTTGTGCATTAAAAGCACAGTTTCAGTGATTAAAATGTTTCCATTGGATTATGTTTCAGAGATACATCCTTACCTAAAAAGAGAAACAAAATGATTGTGGGTGGGCAAAAAAACAGTGAGAGCAGGAGTGACTTCTGACTTCCTGCCAGTTTCCCCATTGAGTTTCCTTGTGGGACACTGTCAGAGAGGGTTAGAAACCTTCCTTCCTTCCTCCCTCCCTCCCCTTCCTCCCTCCCTCCCTCCCTCCCTCCCTCCCTCCCTCCCTCCCTCCCTCCCTCCCTCCCTTCCTTCCTTCCTTCCTTCCTTCCTTCCTCCTTCCTGTAACCGGTTGCAGGTCATGTGATCACCTTTTATGACCTAACAAGCAAAGGCAATGAAGAAGCCAGATTCACTTAACAACCATGTTACTAACAGCCACGTTACAGTTAGTTAATCACTAACTGTAAGGATTCATTTAACAACTGTGGCAAGGAAAGATGTAAAATGGGCAAAACTCATTGAACTGCCTTGATTAACAACAGAAATTTTGGGCTTGATTGTGGTCGTAAGTCAAGGGCTACCTATACACCAAATGAGTTCTCATAAAACATATATACCATAATATTTTTTATGAACCCTCTCTCAAATCTTACCAAAATATATACCAGGGTTTTATGAACCCTCTCTCAAATATACCAAAATATTTTTTATGAACCCTCTCTCAAATCTTAACCATTGTTTTCTTGACAACAATATAGAGGTGATTTGCCATTGCTGCCAAAACCTAAATGAAGCCATTTGCTATGAGACATAGTTATAAAAAGAGAGGCATACAGGTGTATCCAGTACATAAACATCTTTAAAATAATAAAATTGGAAGGAAATGCTGGGGTTTTTTTTAATGTAAAATTACTGGCATGGTACAAGATTTCAGATGTGGGTAGTCTCACTTAACAATTGCAGTTGGGGTCTGTAACTTTGTTGTTAAATGATATAGAAACATCACATGTCCATGCCTGACTTACAATGTTAGTTCTGCTGTGGTTGTTAAATGAATCACCCAGGATCATTAAGTGTGATGTCATGTGACTGCAGCTTCCCACTTACAATTTACTGCCGGCTTTCCCATTGACTTTGCTTATTGGAAGCCAGCTGTGAAGGTCCCAAATGGCAATCAAGGGTCTGTGGGACTCTGTGACCATCAGAACCGCATGCCAGTTATGATGGCAGCAGAATTCTGGTCACCTAACTGCAGGGAGGCTGTAAGATTGAGAACCGGTCATAAAATCTTCTTTTTCAGGGCTGTTGTAAGTTCGAATGGTCACTGAATGAGTTATTGATTTACTGAGGACTATTGTACTGGAAATGATATAAAATGAGCATGGTCCTCTTGGACTTTAAGATTCTAGTTGTAGGTTATAGGTAATCCTTGAGTTACAACCACATTTGCAGCCAAGATCTTGGTGGCAAAGGCAGTCAGTTAAGTGAGTCATGCCTGATTTTATTGTCTTTTTTGGGCCACTGTTGTTAAGCAAATTGCTGCAATTGTTAAGTGAAACATGTGGTCGTTAAATGAATCCAGCTTCCTCTATTGACTTGTTTGTTAGAAGCCAGCTGGGAAGGTTTACATGACTCCAGGATGCTGCAGTGATTGTAAATGCATGCCAGTTGCCAAGCACCCGAATTTTGTTGACGTGACTGGGGATACAGCGAGTTTCATTAAGTGTGAGGATTGGTAGTAAGTCACTTTTTTTCAGTGCCATTGTAACTTTGGACGGTCACTAAAGAAATGGTTGTAAATCAAGGACTAGCTGTATCAACGCTACATACCAATTAATTTACTGAATGGTTGAGAATGAATGCCGAAACCTTGCTGTCTCCTCAGCAAATAAAGGGCTAATTGTCTCTTCACAAAGTCATAGAATAAACAAAAAATAAAAAGCTGGTATACATTATATGCCCTAAAAAAAATCAGAATTTTGCTTAACAATTCTGTTGTATTATTTGTATTTCATGTCATTATCAATGTATTTTTTTCCTTTTGTTTTATTTCCGAAGAAGTACATCAAAGTAGGAAGATGAATGAACTGTGTTCAGCTATGGCTTCCTTCCTGTGTTTTGCAAAACTAGGAAAGAAAAGAAACATACTCTTATTCTTATTCAAAATAAACACTTGCAGCACAGGATAATAAATATGCTTTATGCCTTTCATGAAGAATGCCTTGGATAGTTCAAAGGCATTTTCTATTGACTTCTATGCAAAGTTTACTGTAAGATTATCTCAATCTTAAATCTCCCCTGGTTTAACTGTACAGGAACAAGAGAAGGACACTTTTCTATTCTTACTGTAAAAAGCATTTTCTTCCACAGAACCAGTTCTTGTCACATTGTTTACATTTCACTCTGTAATACTGGTAGTAGTACATGATGCAGATTAATTGTAGGTCTCCCCTCAGTCAAAGATAGATGGTTTTCACCCAGTCACTCTCTGACCCCAATTTATCCCACAAAAGTGTTGTTGCGGGGATAAAATGAAGGATGACTCTGAAACTATGATCACCAATAAGCTAAATCACATTGAATTATGGACCTTAATCTGTTGTGTGTGGCTCTATAGTTTATAACTGCATCATTAAATTCATTTTAACATCTACTTAAAATAGATTCTGTTCCAGTGTTTTGATTCTGAGTTAGCTAAATTGAAAAATAATGTGCAATAAAACATTATGTTAACTATTATATGGAAGCTCCAGTGCACACAAGTGGAGAGCACTCATCATTCTGTTGAGTGTCCTCTGTCCAAAAATGTTTCATTTCTCTTCGGTGAATAAGCTCAGAGGGCAGGTGCTGCAACAGAAAAGACAGGTTAAAGAGAAGAAGCAAGAGTACCAGCCCTTTGGCAGGTTAAGAGGTTTGGGCTCCATTTCTCTCCTCTTATTAACATTGACACAGTCTTGTCAGCTGGAACTGGAGAAAAGAGAAAAACTACCAGAACACCATTCCCATCTAGTAATCCAGGGGTCCCCCAACTCCCGGTCCGTGGACCAGTACCGGGCTGCGGCATGCCAGCAACCGGTCCGCATAAACAAGCAAAGCCCCATCCGTGGGATGCAGGCAGCACACAAAACCATGCACCCTCCTGTCCGCGGAAAAACCTCTCACCACAGAACCAGTCCCTGGTGCCCAAAAGGTTGGGGACCTCTGTTGTAATCAGTCCAAAAGGATAGCCTGATTGATGGCATCAAAAACCACTGAGAGATCAGGGAGATTTGTTTGCTTGTTTCTTTATTAAATTTAGACAGAGGGACTCTAGGTAGCGTACAAAAAAAATATTAAAAACATTAAAACTCAATATAAAAATTTAAAATAGAGACAAGATTCAGAATGATTGCACGATCCCCATCCTAGCTCTACTAGAGGTCTTGAACAAGCACAGTCAGTACTGTCTGAAATCTAGCTGAAAAGGATTCAGATAACTTATTTTCTACAAATCCCTCGGAATTTGCAACTTAGACACCTTCTCAACAGCTTTCCCCAGAAAATGGGAAAGATAGACTAAAAGAAAGTGATTTCAGATAGGTAGAACCATTCCATCTCTCAGAGAAGTAACCACTGTGTGGATCCAGCCATGTAACTTTCCAGGAGCCCTCAGGTGGCCAGATTAACAAGGAGTTAATACTTTAGGAGTTACCAGATCAGATTCTTCCCAGGCAACTAAACAAGACCATGCCTCAGTTTTACAACCCAGATCTGTGTCGAATCCAACTCTGATCAGATCTGATTTGATTTGACAGACGCCTAGCATATTTTTTTTTGCAACAGCCCTCTAGATCAAGGGTCCTCAACCTTGGCAACTTTAAGACTTGTGGACTTCAACTGCCAGAATTCCTCAACCAGGCACGCTGGCTGAGGAATTCTGGGAGTTGAAGTCCACAAGTCTTAAAGTTGCCAAGGTTGAGGATCCCTGCTCTAGATGTTTTTATAGTCCCTTCCTCCCTCCCCAGCAGGGAACAGTTTGCCTAAAGAAAAAGCTGCTGGCTCTACAGACAAAATAACAGTAGACAAATTAATACATTTTGCACTTCTATTGTCACAGTGAAATCCCTAATATATACAGGTCATATAAGAAAAAATCGTCACCAGCAGAATTTCTTTAATGCACGGGAAGTGATTGGATTTGGAAATGTGATATTTTCTTGTGCCTGGGAGTGGCTCCAGAGTTTCTTCACTGACTCTGTTATTGGGACTTTCCTGAGCATTCACCAAGTTTCTTTTTGTGTGCCTAGTGCCTTGAATATTAGAGAGATCCCATTTACAAAGAGGCCATATGAAACTATAAGAGCACATATGGATTTTATGTTTATCTTAGTGTTTGTTTATATTCCAGGGACGTCAACCCAAAGCTCTCCGTTCTGTTTCTAAACAGTGGGGTTCTTTCTTTGCGGATACTATTTCAGGAAAAGGAAAAGAAGAGGAAATCTTAGTAAATACATGGTCTTGCAAATCTGTTCATGCTTATAGCACAATTACAATCCCAAGCATTGAAGCCATAGCAGGTAAGAATAATGATCCTAAGCCAATCCCTGAAACTTTCAAACCATTAATTTTAAAGTCAAATTCATATTAGTGTCAGATTAATATTGATGATCGGAATTCTAATGCTCTCCCCAAAATAAATATTTCATTGATTGGCCGCTCCAAGCTTACATTTGAGTAAATATTCATACGTTTTCATTGTAAATCCCAGAGTAAATTCTACTAACGCATGGTTTGAGCTTGAGAAAGGGAAAAGAAAACAGTGAAGAGTAATCATTTGTATCTTCATTAAAGCATATTGATTTGTTCTCCACACAAATGATTCCAACAGCAGACCCATAAGCAAAATAATTTTATTTTTTTTCCAGCAGCAATGCTTTGTTATGTAAAACATCAGGTGATCTAGCATTGACGATCTCCATCTCCAATAATTAAGTTTTATTCTATAATCATAAATCATGCATTGACAAGAAGAAGGAAAGGGCTAAAATCCTTTGCACATATTTTCTCTACATGCATTGTTCTTTTTCATTTTAGCAGATTGTTGTTGTTGTTGTTATTATTATTTTATTATTAAATGTTAGAATAACAAGAGCTCACAAAAAAAGAGGGCCAACCCATCCCCAGTACTGAATGAGAATAATAACAGTAGCCACCATTGTAACTCCAATGGCTGTAAAAGTTCTGAAAATACCAGTATTGCTGGTGCACAGCTAATCCTTGTCTTATAACATGACTTATAATCTTCCAACAGTCACTTGAGCAGATTGTTGGAAGTTAAGACAGATTTCAAAAAAGCTACTTATATTCCATTCTCAAAGTTATGACTGCTGCATACATGTGATCACATTTTGAGTTTTGGCAACACGCTCATATTTTAAGACTGGTTGTAGCAGCCTGCAGTCATGTGACTGCAATTTGCAATGGTTTTTGCCCTTTTCCAGCAGAAAAACAGCAAAAAAAAAATAAAATCCATTGGATATGCTAGATTCATTTAACGGCCTCATGGTCCACTTAACAACCATGTGATTTGCTTAACAAATCACGGTGACTCGCTTTACAACATTATAAAAGCAGTTGCAACATTTAATCCAGTTACATAGTTCCTCATAGACTTAGGAGTTCCACTGGGGTCATAAGTCAAGGACTACCTGGTAAAATTCTGGCAGTGGCCATGCTGAACTAATCCTAGCAGGGGGCAGGGGGGAATGGAGGCCCTGTCTAATAAGATCAGGTAGACTTTCTAAGTCCTCCTCTCATAGAATGTCATCTGCACAAATCTTAAAGACAGGGGTTTTTTTCACTCACTGTTTCCTTTTCCCCTGAACCGGTAAGTACAATTAGTATAATCCCAAAGTTGCTGGGTTTTTAGAAAGCTATTAAAACCTGGTTTTTCCAACAGACCTTTGGACAGAGTGATATGTTTTGAAGGTAATATGTTATAAATGTTGTTTTCTCTTGCAGTCTTAAGATTTTGCTTTAGTGTTCTTGTATGGTTCTTGAAGAATAGGTTCTCTTTGTGTGTATGTTTATGTACAGTACTATACAGGGCTTTTTTTGTCATAGAACGGCCAGAACGGAGTTCCGGCCCCCCTTTTTTGGATCGAACCTTGTAGGGTAGGCAAGGCGGGTTGTATGAGTTCCGGCACTTTTTTTTTTTTTTTTTTTTTTTTTTTTTTTTACAAAAAAAGCACTGGTAGTATATATAAAACCGTATTTATGAATAGGTTGTACAAGCTGTTCAGTGTATCAAATTCTCAGGTTTTTCCTGATGTTCTTCTACTAGGCAATTTGGCCAAGATTTCAGTCCCCACCTAGAATGGGAGCTCACACTAGGGATTACATCATGGCAATAAGAGTAAGCAAAATATAACTATTTCTTTTGTTTTTTTCACGACTGCTATCAGCCACTTAAGACCCCTCTTTAAGGTGACTTGCCCCTTCTGGGAAGGATTTGATACAAACCATCTTCAGGGCCATTGTCGAGAATATTTTAGATAACTGACAGATGTTAGAAGCCACTCAGATTCTCTTGGATTTGCATTTTGACTGGGTTGGTCCTGTCAAGTTGACGGAAGCATGGTCTGGCATAGCAAACTGGGAGGGGAGGGGAGGGGAGGAAGGAAGGAAGGAAGGAAGGAAGAAAGAAAAAGAAAGAAAGAAAGAAAGAAAGAAAGAAAGAAAGAAAGAAAGAAAGAAAGAAAGAAAGAAAGCTGACCTCTTCAAGAAGTTAATAGACCCATCATTTGGCATAATGTTTATCCAATATTCAATCTTCTGTTTAGGGAAAATTGTTGAAGAAAAGTAATCAATATGAAGCTTCAAAGAGTTGGGTATTGCCTTACCTGGCATCCTTCCATAAAACTATCTGTGTGTATGTGTGTGAATGGGTGTATGGGTATATGTGTATGAGAGAGGCTCCCAATATGTTATATGCTTACCAGCAAATATAAGGAAAAATGACCAAAGAAATGAAATAATTTATATTAGTCCATTTTCTGTGTCTTGTATCATTGAGGTAAATGATTAGAGAAATCACCTACCTTCCTTGGAAATAAGATCTATCTTGCAAAATATAAATGTTGTTAAAAAGATAAAATGCAAATTTCCTTTTCATTTGTGTCAATTGTAAAACAGTATCAAAGACATAAGAGTTATTCCAATTACATGTCCAGACTTAGAAGGATCCTCCATACAAAACATAAAAGATAGTATAAATTTCTGGTCAGACACAAGTTAATGCTTGCCCCTATATTATGAGAACTCTACTATAAAGAGTTTCCAAGTAGCATATTATTTACTGCACAAAAGAAATTAAAAGTAATGTTGCACAGTATTTCTGGCCACACTTTTTGGCCTATCCTTTCTAAATAGTTGTTTTTAACCAAAATAGACTTCCCTCTATCTCAGTTCTTCCAGTAGTCCTTTCTAGATTTCTAAGATTTATCATTCATTTAATAGTGAGGTTTCTGGGTTGACAAACGGTGTCCCATTTTCTCTTCTCAGCCTCAGTTCTCAACTTGTCCCTTTATTTTAAAAAGACAAACCATTTTTCCTTCTAGCAGAAAAGGAACATATTTGAGTAATCTCACTTTGTACGTGACCCAAGGCAAATAATTTTTCCTTCTGCAGATGGGTGTAGGTTGGAGAAATCTGCCTGCAAGAATGTATACTAGAAATGTCTGTGCTTGTCTCAAAAAAAAGGCTGGCAAAACAATCCTGTAAAAACAGGTTCACAATACATATGTTGTACTTAATATTTAATTCATAAACTGCTCTGAGAGCATGACTCACAAAGGTTTTCAATAAAATAAGTTTAGCAAATACAGGAAGGCACAATCTGAAAACAATAGGAAATGCCCTCAATGCACTACAGTTCTCATAATCCCCAACATTAGCTTTTTTGATAGCCATGGCTTTCTGCGGAGGTATGTAATCTAGAACATCTGTTGTATACCAGCTGCACAATACAAAAGTACACATGCAATATTATCAATTTAGCTTTATTGATAAGAAATTGGACTGATAAGGAAGGAACTAGTAGTTCCCACATAGCGAAGCATTATGTCAGGTGATCCCCAAGGCCATCTAAAGTAGCAATCTCCATCCTTTCTGGCTTGGCAGACTGGTGGAGGGGGGGGGGAATGGCACATGTACACGTGCATGTGCCATTTTCAGAAATACAGCTTCATGCATGCATGCATGCTCACTCACCCACTGCTTCCACGGCCCAGTTCTAAACAGGCTGCAGCCCGACAGTAGGCCGCAGACTGGGAGTTGGGATCCCTGATCTAAAGAATGGCCAGTTATCCATTGATTTGGCAGAGCAAGAAGAAAAAGCCTTACATTTAAGCCCAGAAGCACAGGACTATCTGAGATATTTTCTTTCTGTCTAGTGCAGTGGTTCTCAACCTGTGGGTCGGGACCCCATTTGGGGTCAAACGACCATTTCACGGGGGTCGCCAAACAACGCTGTCGCCATTTTTTTTCCTTTTCCCTAGCTGTCCTACTCCCTCTTATTGGTGGTCACACCCACTTGGGGGTCACCACAACATGGGGAACTGTATTATGGGGTCACGGCATTAGAAAGGTTGAGAACCACTGGTCTAGTGCTATGGACAAGTTCTCTGCAATAAAAATGCTAAATGAGCATAAGCCAGTTCTTAAAGTAGTTAAAAAAAACCTCAGTTAACAGCCGAAGCCTGCCTATATTTCAGTATTCTGCATGATCTTGAATGGTGGTGTTCAAATTGTTAAATCACCCGGTAAGTTCAGGCATGCATTATGATTAGGGGGAAAAAAAGATCAAAAAGGATTTGGAATTGGAAAACAGTGGGGAGCCTCCAGTTTGGGTCTTCTGAATGTAGGATCAGATGTCTTTCACATCATAAAACAAGCTGCAAGAAAGAAAAAGCTTCAAAAACAATTGCACGTGGCATATGAAGACACATTAATATTTAGTGAGCAAAAAAAATAGCCAGGCAAAAATAGATTTCAGCATCATTTTGTAACAAGTTGATATACAGAAGGAGACAATGCTCAGCTGTCAGTTCCCCATTAACCCGTTTCCATGCAATTTTCTGAAATTCTTGGTACAATTGACCTGTACTTCTTATTTTGTTTATTGTCATGAGGAGTCATATCATAGCAATGATGATGTTACCTAGTTTGGGTAAAGAAATGTCCAAGCTCAGAGATCACCAAGAACTCTTCATTTCAACCCTGATCTACAGATATTGTCCTTTATTGTTTATTGTCACTTGGCAACCTAATCCTTGTTTGAATTTTGTATGTTTTTAAAGAGGAACCAAAGCACACCTTTAACATTCTGCATTATAAGTCTGTTGGATGCCTAAATATTATTTTTTGTGGACTAACTCCAATTACTCCTGCGGTTGTTTCATCTTCATCTGCCAGACAGTGAGTGCTTTTGTAAAAAGTCAGTATATATACTTGTAGGGGGGAAAAAACAAAACACCATTTCTTTAAGCTCTCAAAAAGCAGATCATATAGCTTTACTCTAATTTTATATTTATTGATTTGATCCCACCTTTATTATTTTTACAAATAACTCAAAGCAGAAAACATATCCAACACCTTCCTTCTCCTATTTTCCCCACAATAGCAATCATGTGAGGTGAGGTAGACTGAGAGAGAGTGACTGACCTAACATTACCCAGCTAGCTTTCATGGCTAAGGTGGGACTTAAACTCACAGTTTCTGGTTTCTAGCCACTAGTGCAGGGGTAGGCAACCTTGGCTCTTTTATGACTCGTGGACTTCAACTCCCGGAATTCCTGAGCTAGCCATGCTGGCTCAGGAATTCTGGGAGTTGAAGTCCACGAGTCATAAAAGAGCCAAGATTGCCTACCCCTGCGCTAGACCAAACTAGCTCTCTGCTTTGCCTTAGACATTTTATTTTATTTTATTTTTCAGTTGAATTGGAAATATTAAGGACAGGGTTGAAATTGGATAGACATTCCCATCAATATGCTACTCGGTAACTACCAGCCAGCATCAAGTCCTTGAGCAATATGATTTCAACACCAAGTCAGTGACAAAGAATATAAGAGCATTTTTAAAGAATGCTTAAACTACCAAATAGTCATATTGGTCTTTCACATCTCTTGGCATTTCCATTTTAATATGTCCAGATCTAAGAAAGAATAGAGTGTTATTGATTCTTGAAACAAAATCATTTGTTCTTTTTCTGTTTTCTTTTAAGAACAAAATGTTTGTGCTTGTATTACTGAAATGGATCAAAAAATTCCCAGTTAGGCTAGTCTCTCCAGTCTTCTTGCCCTGACTGCAGTGTATAGTTGTAGGACTAGCATAAGCAGAAAGCCATGCCAGTGAAGGTCACAATTTATATATTCCACAAAATATTTCATTCTTCCAATTTCTCCCAGAAACCTATGCAGGAGAATTACCAGTTTCACAGGTTTATCTTCCCACTCAAAACCAGGCACTTTTAGAAGATACAGGCTAGCCCTAGAGAAAATAAAAGTCACATTTAAATCAGCATTATTACATATAATTTCAGGGAAGCTATGTGAATATACATCCTACCAATGTAAACATCAAGATAGGTGCTTACTGAAGATCTGTAGAGATAATGCTTACTAATAAACAAGGGACCAAAAATAATGGTAGATTATTTGAACCAAAATATTCCATTTTATGGATAAAATGTAACCAAATGATCTGTTTCTAGATTTACATTACTGTGAAATTGGTAATTTGGGCTTGGAATCAGAAAAGGGAATAATATACAATATTCTTTTAACCAATAACAATATATAATTTGTTCTTTCAAGAAGAATATTTGAGTTTATCTTTAATATTTCCATTAGTTACCCAAACAAATTATTCTGAACTTTAAAAGATCTGGATGCAACTGGTGATCAGTTGCAGACTAATTTGTTCTAAATAATATATCAATTTTTAATCATCAAAATAATTTAGAAAGTTTCCTGATGATATTAGAAGAAATATTTATTTGCCCATATTATTCTTTTTTCCAGCTATGTAGCCATTACAATAACAACAATAATATGATTATGGGAAACATAATATTGCTCTTTTAAAATTAAGATTAAATAATTAATGCAAAGTAGTATCTATAATTCAAAATTAGTTTTCTTGGATATGCTAGCAAGTATATTATTGTCATAGATCATCCTATGCCTACATAAGTGATACAATATATTTGTCACTAAAAGATACATATTTCAAATTATCTAGAATTACTTTTGCTTTATTTTAAACAAATATTCCCTAAGGAAAACCGAAACATTCCTTTTATATGCTCAGGCATATAAACTCGAGACACAAAACATGTAAGCTTGTGGTGTGCTTAAATTAATGCAATATTAAGCAAACGGATTAAAAAGCTTAAGAAACAAATGTATTTTTCTTTGGAGCTTCTGGGATTATTTAGATGTGATACAGGTATAATTCCTAATCATATGTGTTTTTTTCAGATTTACCACTGGATTATCAATTTGGTAGATTTTCTTCAAATAACTCAATAACTACTGGTTACTACCCCAAACCTCCGAAGTTGTTATCATGTGGGGAGCGAATGACAACCAAATAAAGCATCTTTAAAGAAAAGTAAATCTGAATTTTCATCATGCTTAAGCAAAAATGTTGGAAACTATCAAGAATCATGCAAATGAAATACTATATAAATTCAAAAGACATTTTGGAAGGGACCTAACCAGGCTGAAGAAAAAAAACTTTCTATTTTCCTATTGATTGTGATGCATCCATCTATTGCCTAAATAACATTTTCTGTTTTCTGAAGATTTGCTGCAGACTTATAATCATATCCTGGGTACCTATGTCAGTTCATGCATTACATGGACACTTTATATCCATAATAACACAAGGGGAGCATGTGCTTTTAACTGTGAGCAATATTCTATGATAAGAGAGTTTTGTACATACTTAATCCTCGTGTGAGGGCCAATTCCATCATTCTTCATACTGAAAAAAGTGGTAAATATGTGTGAATAAGTTTGATAGATTTAGGATTTTGAGGATTATGCAGGAAGGGCTGAAATGTAGCAATTCCTCCACAATGAGGAAGGATAATAATTAGCCTTTCATTTCAAAGTCTGATTAAATTTTGTAGTGTGAAATACACTTTTAATAATTTGAATTAGCAATCAAACCTGTCAAATTAAGTGAATCGACCTTTAGAAAATCTGTTCTGAGAAATATATTATTAGCCTGTTTCCTGCTCAGGGCAAACATAAAATTTTATATTTAAGCCGATTAAGATGCTGAACACTGTTTTGCTGCTAGACATTTACCTGTTCGGTAAAGTGCCCTTGCCACTGGCATTTTTAAAAAAAGCGCCTAGTTTGTGAGCTTTTCTTCCAGGATGGTATCTCCCTTTCTTACATCATCATCATTTTTTGTAAAAGGAAATCTGTAATTGTTTTAGAAAAATAGCCTGGAATTCAAATTTGTAAAAAAGAAATAGTATATTGGGATTATGAAATTACAGTATTCTGAATCTTCTAAGATTCAAAAATTAGTTTTTACATTATTCTGATACTAGAATGTGCTTGTCTTTTCAGAAGAGAACACTATTCAAATTAGTTGAGTTTATTCTCTCCTAAGTAGCCATAGGATTGCAATTAAGTCTGCAGTCTTATGAGTATATAGAAATAAATGTTACAGTTCAGATCTAATTAAATAAGTCTAGGACTATACCATAAGCAAGCCAATGTTTATGTCCATTAGTGTTTTCTCAGCAAGATAAACCTTGGTATGTTGGATTACATTCAACTTTTCTTGCATGTGGACTACTCCCTCAGAAAGGGTGATCTGTTAGTATAAATCACAGTTCAAGGATCTGGTAGTATAAACTTGAAATGTCATGATTTCTGAAGCCTTCCATCTGCTTTGGCAGTTCTCATCTGTATGAAGTTGAAAATAAAGGTTATTTATTCTTGAGCAGCTCTGGATTCTGTTACTTGAAGCCCTAGAAGAAAAAGAAGATTATGCTATGTGGAATGCAATAAATATTATAATTAATGACAATGATGCATTGTTAAGCATTGACAGGTGCTTAGGAGGTAATTAGAAATTCAAAATCATGATTCATTTTCTTACACTTTAAATACCTGTTATGGTCAGAAAGGGAGGGAACAGCTGAAAGGTTAAGACTACCCTCACACAATGGAACCAATCCATATCTCCCTCTTCTTCATTCATTTGGGTAAAAGACCAAAAAAAGGAAACTGAAAAATAAGGTCACTTATCTGTTCAATCTGTGTCATTTTATCCTCCACTCAAATGTCTATGGAGATTCTCAGTCATCCAAATATGGTTGTCCCAAAGGTGCTTGCTTCATGAAAAAAGCACCTTTGGGGTCTCCACTCATATTGTCTCACATTTAAGCATTCTGGCAAGCTATATAATTTACTGAAGACTGCCAAATTAAATAACTATTTAGGAAGATGTAGTCAAATTAGGTTCCCCTTAATACATATATTTTCCTCCAAGACAGTAAGGCTACAAACATTCATGGTATATTTTCCTGGAACAATGAAACATTAGACCCAAATAAAACTGGAACTTGTAAGGGAAAATGAACAGGCAATTCCTAGAATATTTTTCTGGTAAGGAAGCAGCGCTTTAATACACATCCAAATACAAGGCAGGTTGAAACCTCATGGGAAGTAGGCAATATGGTACATATATCTATTCTGTTCTTCTCTTTCAAAGTAACGTTATGAAAAGGAGAGAAAGTGAATTGAGCAAAAGAAAGAGATTAAATAAAAGGATATCAAACTGCCTTGCTTTTACCTTAACTTTATTCATTATAATATCTCTCTCCGTATCTTTTTATCCTTGCAAACCATCCTTCATTCTACCACATGTATACACTGAATTGTGTATTGCCTTTTCTTTTTTGTAGGCTGTACTGGGAATTAAAAAAAAATCCTGGAAGAAGGCAAAGGCAGATCACTACCATAATGCTGACAAATAAATTTAATGGATGTGTTGAGCATCACTTGAAAAAGAAGATGTTGATGATTAAAAGTATTCCCTTATTTGAAATTAGGCTATATCGAAAATTCTTTTCTCTGGCAGAATTTGATATTGCCAAGGGAGGGGGGGGTTGGGGGTGTCCTGCATCAAACAACACTTTTTTTTCCAGGACAGAAAATTAGAACTATCAAAAATCATTTATGCAATGCACTTCTCTATTGTAAAATTAGTCTCATTTTCTAGTTTAGCTGGTACAAAAATAATGTTTCTTGGGGGTGGTTTCTTCTATCACAATTATTGAACTATCACTACTATTGATCTGGCATGTTGTGCCTTATGTATATTCTTCAAGCCAGAGTGAAAAACTAAAATTAAACTAGCTTTCAACATGGTTTGCACAGAAAAAGAAACCATTCTGCAATAGAAAATTATTTTATCAGAAGCCAGAAAGTCATATATTAAGTGAAATAGAAATGAGATAGTAGACAAATCCACATTGAAGTTATGCAATGGCAAATCAGGTGAACTGAGTTTGCTGAGATCAGGAACTGGAAATAGTAAGATCAAACCTGTCCACAACAGTCGTAAAACTGGGCAGAGTATGATTTGTGAAGGCCTCTAAAGTTCGTCATTATGGAATTCAAATTTAATAGCAACACTTTACAATCCATTAATACTTTTGACTGACAAAGTACTTGTATACATTGTACATCTAAATCTATACAGTATTTCTGATCTATATTGAACTGGAACAAAATTAGTGCTTTAAAGCAGAGGTCCCCAACCTTTTGGGCACCAGGGACTGGTTCCGTGGAGAGAGGCTTTTCCATGGACTGGAGGGTGCGTGGTTTTGTTTGCTGCCTACATCCCACAAATGGGGCTTTGCTTGTTTGTGCAGACCAGTTGCTGGCATGCCACAGCCCAGTACTGGTCCATGGACTGGGGGTTGGGGACCCCTGGTTTAAAGTGTCCTATTGTATTTTTCAGCCTTTATTCTTATCCTTTGAGACTGCCAGTTGATGTCTCATTGAATCATTTTTTTCATTAAAAATTAAGCTAAGACCCCCTCTGAGTGAGGAATGGGAGTGAAAGGTTCTTTATAAAGCATCCAGTTTTTGAGACTTATTTGCCAATGGAACATAAATATTAGATTTAGCAATGGAAAGTAAAAACCATGTGAAATTCTAAATGTTCTGTATGCTTATACACAACATTAAAAGGTGTTTTGCAAATAGCATACTTTGAATGTTTATTATTAATATTTACCAGCTTTTTTAAAAAAGCAATCCAAACGATTCTGGTTCCAGCATGCCTAGAATACATGGTGAAGCTATGTGAACGTCTACTTAGAATGATATGGATATTTCATAGGGTTGGGTTGGTTTTTGACATGTACTTTAGTACAAAACCACAGAGAGATTTTTTTGAAAAACTGGTCAACAGATGTTATTCATAGAGACAAACTTCTAAAGTTTTTTCAGTGCTGTAACAAAAGCATTTTCAATGGAATCAGGATAAATCCCTTCCTTTCCCTAGTTTGAGTTCAAATTTGGGTCTCCCAACCCAACAAGTGAATTTCACATATTTTTCACTGGAAAGATGAAAACCAGACTAACCACTTCTAAACATATTCATGTTTAAGTTGCTTGGCCAAATTAAAGGCTAGAACACCCAAAATGACCATTACGGAAAGGGGATATAAAAACTAGTACCATTCATGATTCCCATCTGTGTTAAACCAGACAGCCCTTGAGTTTGGATAGTCAATCCAAAGCACTTCATTCAAACATGATTTGGGGAAAATAAGTCAAGACTGAATTCATCTATTTAATCAGGGAAGTCATCTGTTTCAAAGTCTTGCATTTGTATGCCTGTGTTTAAATAATCCAGCTGTGCAAAGATAGACAAATAGAGGAACTTTATTTATAAAACAGATTTTAAAACTAATTTTAAGCAGGAAATTAAGTGATATTACACTTGGGTTGAAACACAATAATTTGATAGTTTTGTTCCCTCACTTAATGTGAATGAATGTACACTAGGACATCTCTATTAGAATGAAAACCCAGAGTTTGACATGACTAAAACTTTTTGTGAAGCCAAAATTGATTTGGAGAATTATTTTACAAAGTTCAATCTAATGACAGAGTAACAGTTAACCTTGAGTGACAATCATATTAGAACCATGCTATTATGATTAGTAATGCATAGTTTGAATGGCATTGATGTGCATAAATTCTTGTATATAAACATGGTGACAATGTAAGAGTAGTATAATGGTTAAGATGCTGAACCAGGTTAAAGTCCACTCTTAGATATGGAAACTCCTTGAGTGACTATTGGAAACTCCTTGAGTGACACTCTCTCTCTCTCTCTCTCTCTCTCTCTCTCTCTCTCTCTCTCTCTCTCTCTCTCTCTCTCTCTCTCTCTCTTTCCCTCCCTCTCCCTCGCTCTCTCCCTCACCAGGTTACAGTTTTGGACATAAAATAAAAGGCAGTCCCCATGCCTTGAATTCTTGGAGAGAGACAGGATAGAAGTCAAATAAATACATGGCATATAAGTGAATTATATTTGTCAGAAATTTGCAAAGCCAAGAAGCATCTTTGCATGGTGGAGGCAGGTGTGTTCACTTTCTCCCGTTATATATCTAAGATGGTATGAGAGATGTAGGTCTAATGTATTATTTCCCCTTCACAAAAGACAAAAAAAAAAAAGTTACACAAATGCAGCAATGTTTGCAGGTCCCGTCCCCTAAGAAGATACATCTGGCGGGACCCAGAGATTAGACTGGCTCCTACTTTAACAACTCTTTTGGAAGGCACCAAAGACCTGGTTGTGCCAGGGGCCTGGGGAATCCACAATGGGATGGAGCTCATTAAATGACTAGTTTGAATGTGTGTTGTCACTGTGGTAAGGGGGTGGGGGTGGGTTATTATTTTATTATTTATGTTATTATTATTTCTTATTATTTTATATGGTGTTTTATATCCACGTAAGCCTCCCTGAGTCGCCATGTGTGAGTAGGTAGCAATATAATTTTTCTAAATGAATAAATAAAAATAAATAGGCCTAACATTAGCAGTGGTTCTTCTTTTGTGGAAATATTAATTGACAAGCATACACTAAGTTAAAAAGAGGTGGCTCCATTTCCAGACATATAGATCTGGATTGAAGCCACGGTTGAGATGAATAATTTTAATTAGTCTCCAAACAACAGGAAGCCCTGCAGTGCCAAATCTGAAAATATACTTCTCCCTGCCTCAACTCAAGTCTTCTTTCAAGTTGAATGGATCCTTCCTCAGACTTACCACAAATACAGAAGAGCAATAGACATTTAGCAACTAGCTTCTAGAGTCTAGACACTATGATATGGGCAGAGACAGCCTTATGCAGAAGAAGAGAAGGGGAAAGTGTGATACACTTACTCTGTAACATTCCCCTGTGTATTCAGCAGACAGATCTGTAAAGACTTTCTCAGAGCGTTCAGATGGATATGCTGGCAGTGGAAAACCTAAGACAGACTTTAGCACAAAAGGTACTATTTCACTATAAATTCAGACTAACAAAACACATGCTATAACATGTGTTTTGTTAATACAACAAATGTATTATATTAAATTGCATTATATTATAATATAATATAGATGCTGGGCTTGTCAGCTGGAAACCTATAGAGCCCAGCTTTGAAACCCAAGCACCACACAATGGCACGAGCTCCTGTTATTTGCCCCAGCTCCTGCCCACCTAGCAGTTTGAAAGTATGCAACTGAGAGTAGATAAATAGATACTACTTCAGCAAGTATCATGCTGGCCACATGATGATGGAAGCATCTCTCAGACAATGCCGGCTCCCTCACCTGAGATTTAGAGAAGAGTACCGCTCTCTTGAGTCAGTCATGACCAGCTAGGGCAGGGATATCAAACTTGCAACATCACGTGACGTGTCATGACGTATCATGACT